AAAGGTAATGAGAAAGAAAGAAAAGATGAGAAGGAGCAGGAAGCAACATTGGTGTTGTGAAAAGTGAAGGAATGAGAGAATGCAAGAGCAACAAAAAAGGAGATATTACAGGATAAAGGCAGCAATATTCTGTATTTTATGGTCAACATATTTAAGGAAAGGATTAAAAGACATTTTAATTTGTTTCTGCTGACAACTGTGATCTTTAAAAGCTGGTCAGAGCTATCTAGCTCTTTTATTTCATTTTAAAAGAGGCTCGTTAACTTCCTAAAACATTGTAATTTTTAACAAATATCACTCAAGCAGGACTTAGCTGTGTATTTCCTGGGAAGGATATTGAGTTGCATATTAATATGTGCTATTAATTAATTACAACATCGGCATAGCTTACATGAAGCGTGCCATCCATTATGACGGGGTGGCTCACTGATGTGTTTTTAACACTGTTTGCACAGCAGTTGTTAAAATAAAAAAGCTATTTTCAGCTTTGACTGTACACTTAATACATACTAATAGGGAAGTTGTTTTGTCCCCGACACTGATCTGATTCCTCTAATATTAAGTGTCTGCCTATACCAATCCAATGCTTATATTTACCTACACTTAATGTTCACTAAATATCTGACATATTGAAATTAATCTGGCCCTGTGTTTTCAGGGGCTTCTTTACCCAAATACTGGTTCAGGTCCTGGTTCCAAAATATCAGTTTTATTATCTTAAATGATTAATGTGGATTAAAGAATAAGTGGGAGCTGAACAACACACGCTCAGAGCTATAGATTCATTTCAGGACAGATAGTAACTACTATTCTGTATCCATATGTGAACACACAGTTTGTGTAACCAGTCCAATTTAGATATTCCTGTTTGACCATTTAATAACACTGCTGCCTCTTTGCTTGATGTGTTTCTCTGTTTTGGTGAAGTTCTGGTTGGAGCTAGTCAAGTTTCTTTATTTTGGTGGATTCTGTGGAGGGTTACACACATGTACCCCCCCTCCGAAAAAATAGACTTCCGGTCACGGTTACGTGCATAAGGTATCGCTGATATGCTAGATGACACACAGGTAGTGTAGACAGGTTATTGGTTGCATGAAAAGCAATTGAGTCTATCAAATACAGGACTGTAGTTGGATCGGCTCTGCTCTTATTTTACCAGTCCTGTAAAATAAGCCTGGATTGGCAACAATACCAATACTTAGTACCAGATTTGGGCATCTCTACTTACTAATATAAAATATGAGAATATAGAATATCACCAGGTTTATCCTTTACAATAAGAAGGAAAGAGGTTTTTACAAATGCAATTTGCAAGGGCATCACAGAGGGAGAGGTAGAGAAAAAGAAAGTGGCAGGTGAAAAATGAAACGGAGAAAAACTGGCAGTGACATAAAATTAGAGTGAAGTGGCATATGAGACAGACAGGCAAAGAGAACAAAGAAAACAATATCAGCCATGTGTTATTACAAGTCAGAGAGCAGGGCTTTGAGAGTTACACGACGAAGGTCAAGCAATAAAAAAATGTTGAAACATTCTTTCTTCTTCTCCTCCTAGAACCCCCCAGACTGCAGTAAGGCGAGAAAGCTGGTGTGTAACATTAATAAGGGCTGTGGTTATGGCTGCCAGCTCCACCATGTCGTCTACTGCTTCATGATCGCATATGGCACCCAGCGCACACTCATCCTCGAGTCTCACAACTGGCGCTACGCCCCCGGCGGCTGGGAGACCGTCTTCCTGCCTGTCAGTAACACCTGCACTGACCGTTCCGGGGCCACCACTGGACACTGGTCAGGTAGGTACACACACCCACACACATCACAGCTGTGAGCTACACACAGTTACAGCATCGGTGCTGCCCACGACAGTTATGTTTGGTTGCTTAATAATGAAAGAAGCGTTGATCTTTTTCGGACTACCCCAGCTAAAAGAACTTGATCTGCTGGACCTGTCTTTTGTTCTGCTACCACCAAAATTAAATGTGAATTCCCTGGCTGAGCGGGACTATGCAGTACACGTTAACAGACTTTGGCAACCAGTGTAGCAGCAGCAGGTTACTGCTCAAAGCTTTAATTGGCAAGAAATCCTGTGACTGTATTTCAGTAAACAACCCATTCCTCTGACCTACAGTGAGTTTATACTTGTGGCTGGTACACACACAGATTGTAGGGAATAATTTTTGCAGAAATGTTATCTGTTTGTTAACACAGGCTCTTTGATTCATGATTTTCTGTGCACTGAATTTATATTGCTTTCATTTCTGACTGTTCACAACCGCTGAAATAATTTCAGCGGTTACAGCAAATGTATAGAGACTTGACTAAAGAGGACTGCATGTTTAAGTTGTGACATATAAAAGCTTGGTTTATGCAACGTGAACAGTTCCCTGCTGAGAACCCACTTGACATCAGTATTTACTTTAGTGCTTAATATGACAGTCTGCTTTTGAACTGGCAAATCCCATGGGTATAGGACTGCTACTCTAATCTTAAATCTGTTGCTATATATCAGTGTAGCAGTTGGTCAGTTACACTGGGGGGAATGGGAGGGCTCAGGGTCACCTGATCCAGCCCTAACTATAAGCTTTATCAAAAAGGAACGTCTCAAGTCTAGTCTTAAAGGTAGAGAGGGTGTCCGCCTCCCGAACTGAGACTGGGAGTTGGTTTCATAGGAGAGGAGCTTGATAGCTAAAGGCTCTGCCTCCCATTCTGCTTCTGTGGACTCTAGGAACCACAAGTAAACTTGCACTCTGAGAGCGAAGTGCTCTGTTCGGATGATAAGGCTCTACGAGGTCTTTATGATACAATGGAGCCTTGTTATTAAGGGCTTTGTATGTTAGGAGAAGGATTTTAAATTCTATTCTGAATTTTACAGGGAGCCAGTGGAGAGAAGCTAATATGGGAGAGATATGATCTCTCTTGCTAGTTCCTGTCAGTACTCTGGCTGCAGCCTTTTGGATTAACTGGAGGCTTTTTAGGGAATTATTGGGATATACTTATAGTAAAGAGTTACAGTAGTCCAGCCTGGAAGTAACAAATGCATGGACCAGTTTTTCAGCATCACTTTGAGACAGGATGCTCCTGATTTTTGCAATATTGCACAGATGAACAAACACAACTCTGGAAACTCAGTTTATATGTGAGTTAAAGGACGTGCCCTGGTCAAAAATAACTCCAAGGTACCTCACAGTAGTTTCCCCAACGCTGTCAACAACTACTGGACAGATTGCCATAAATTTGGTACAGACATTCATGTCCCCCTTTTGGTCTTTGTCAAGTGCACGGTAAACAGTACACCTGGAAAACATCAGCATGTTAACATTTGGTTCAAAGTCCCTTTTTTTACATGCTATTACATTCTGTGCCAGTCACTGATTTTGTATGAGCGCCATGCTCAAGGATAAAGTAGTTCATATGGAAATCTTGTAGCAGAGTACCTGACCAAAGATTGATGTGCTTGATTTGGTGAAATGGATCTCTCTCCTAATATGTCAGGTAGCAGAATCATTTATGAATGAGATCGCATCGATGTATGAATTGAATTTTATATTTTAATATGAGTAATTGATAATCCATTCCCATAGTATAAGTGTACATGCATCTGCTAAGCTAACAAAACCAAACCATTTGAAAATGGAGAGCCTGTACCTGCCTCTCTCCCCCATCTCGTTCTTTCTCACTGCTTTCTTGTTCTCATCACTGCGTCCTTTTCTGCTGTCTAACTTTCTCCTATCACTTCATTTGACTTCTTCTCTCCTGGGCTCTCCCTTCTTATCTCCTGCACTTCCCCTCCTGCCTTTCATGTGTCCTTCTCCACCATCTAATATCTTCCTCCGGTGTCCGTATTACAGATTGCCTCCTATAGATCTATATATGCCACTTGGCTGCTCACAGCCGACAGCCACCTCTCTGCAAACGCCACTCCTGTCCCCAGGCCTGCTAACATATTGAATTCTTGTCCTTAGCATATTGCAGAGGGACTATTTCTGTTGACCATGCCAGCTAACAAGCTAGGCATAGCAAATGTATGCCTGTATACTTGGCTATGCCTGTGGTCACAGTGCAGGTAAGACCATTCCTTGGGGGCACAGAACCACAAAGGAATAAAGCTGTGGATTAATAACTTGATACATATACACTGAATATCTCACAAATTACGTAAAATGTTGGCCCATGCCAGTATATAGTCGCAAGAAAAAGTAATGGCAGTGTTTGCAGTTTCCTGGTTTTCTGCATAAATTGGTCATGAAATGTGATCTGATCTTCACCAAAGTCACAAATGGCAACAAACACAATATTTCTAAACAGATACAACACAAACAGTCCTGCATGGTTCCTGGATGGCAGGACATTTTGCACCTTGTGTTATAATTGTCTAAATCTGTTACTCCTGAACTCTCATCGTCCTCTCTCAGCTCTGTCATTTTGTGGTAAATGCCACAAAGATGTCATCTTCACATTTGTATACTGTTTGGCTTGTCCCACATCTTTGTTAAGCACTTCCACTAGCACACTTCTTTACATCCCTACTGTCTGTTTAACCCACTGTTGCGTGTTGTTGTTCTACTACAACTTCTGTGTCCATCTGACAGAATGACAGCGTTCAGCACCATCTCACACACTTGGTAAGAGACTGAATTCTGAACACACAAAGGGGAAGCAGTCTTCATGTGGAACAATGGCTCATTGATCAAAGAGCTAATTTGCTAAAGAGAGTGTATTCCTGTGAGGATCTCTGTCGAGATATTACGGCCTTATGAGTGAGTCTGAGAACAGCAGGAGAAACATAATGTTCCCTGCCATGTAAAGACTGGAACAAGAGTTCATAAACTCTGTCTCAAATGCATTATGGATGGGGAAACTCTGTATATTTTGTCTGGATGGTATCACTTTTTGTTCTCCATTTCATAGCTACGTTAATATTTATTAGGCTCAGCGTACTGCTTCGGCGCAGACCCGTATGCTTTAAGTCATGGTGCGTACAGGAAATATATGTGGTGACTTTGGAGTTGAGATTAAATTTAGAAGGACTTTGTGATCTAATTAAATAGCTGTTGGAGGAAGATATACTGCATATCTGTACATTTGAGCTAGGATGCACTGGCCTCAAAATATGCCTATTCCCCCATATATGAATCATGCCAGTGCTGTTATATAAGCAAAGACAGGCCGGGAATATTTTTTATGATACATTTTTAACGCTTCTCCCAGTTTATATTCAGTTCATATTCAGTTCATGCATACACACACATATTGAAGCCACTGTTTTTGTTCTTGTTTTTAACATGTTTTTAATGTAGCCTTTCTATGAAAGGCCATTTTTAATGACTCATTATGCCATTTATTTGGAGCGTGCTGTGGAGGCTGTGTTCACAGCTGTATTAGAGCCTGTCAGTAGCAGTTAGAGAGGCCACTTAAGTCTGACAGAATAGAGGCCTCTAACTTCTCTTTGCCTTGTTCAGTGGCTTACATACATGCACACACACACACACACGCGCACACATGGACAAAAAAAACTCCTCATGTTTTAAGACTGAAAGAGGGGGAAGGTTGTGTCTGCCAGGCATAGCCCTTCTGGTCCAATGAGATTAGCTGGGGTTCTTTGTGTGTATGTGTGTGCCTCTGTGTGCACAAATGCACATGTTTTTTATTGTTATTTTATTTGGATCCTCGTTAGCTGTCACTGCTGCACCACCTTTTTTCTGCTGTTCACAAGACCCCATACGACTGTTCATGCGTGTGTATTTCCAGGTACATTTTGGCGAGTACATGTGTGTTTCCGTCCTTGAGTGTGTGTGTGTGTGTGGTGTGTAGCAAAATCTGGCAGTTCAGGAGGGTGGTTCTGCTGCCCAGAGAGATGACCTTTGTAATCAGGCATGCTGTACCCACTACCCAGTGCTTCTGCCAAGGAGGACTCAGTCTGAAGGGGGCAATGCCAGATGACCACCAGCCCACCACTATCTCAGCCCCTTGACTTACACAGCCTTGATAGAAAGGAGATTACCTTGGCCTTTAAAGCAAGGATAAGCAAAGAGCAGCTGTCAGTTACAAACCCTGAACTCTCTGGGATTGGAGGATTTGGATTTATGATACAAAAAGATCAGGAATAAATATAGTAGGGCTGGGGAATAACACTGAAATATCACACTGCATCAGAATACAACATGTTTTTAATGCTAATTATATGATAGAAGGTATGCATAGTGAGTGCTTCAACAAAAAAAGACAGGCTCAGTAAATGTACAGTTATTTGATTGTTTTAGTTCTGACTTCAGAACAAGCTTGTTGCAGAGAACTTGTTGATACATTCAAGCTCTTTATAGTGTTCATTAAAAAAAAGAATAAAAGGTGCAGGCTCTTGCCTAGTAAAGCTATTACTGACACAAGGATTTGAACCTCTGCCCTTCAAGTCAAGACAATTTGATTTATATACTGTAGGGTGAAATCACAAATTTGCCTCATAGGACCTTACAGCATTCCACACCCGGGATTCTTAAACCCTTAGTATGTGGTTTTAACAGGAACAAAAAAGGAAAAATATCAAGTTAAACAATATTTTCTTAAAGGCCACCCTGCTGCGCTAAACATGTTTTTTACTTGAGCAGGACTGAAACCTTTAGTCAGTCCACAGGAACTAAATTAAAACACCAACCATTCTGAGAATTCATAAAATATTTAAATTATATATCAACCACAAATGTCAACCATTTGCTGGAATTAGCTTCTTTAATGTGAACATTTGCTGCTTTTCATGGTTCAGTCTAAATGTGTCAAACAAAAGAAGTCATTTGAAACTGTGATGAGCATTTTTCACTAGTTTCACACATTGTGTAGGCTAAACAATGAATGGATAGGGAAGATAATGTCTGCACTATTGATAATGTACATAATCATTAGTCCCTAAACTGTGATGAAATAATGAATCTTGAGTGTCTTATTCTCTGCCTCCTCTTCTTTGCTCCATCCAGGAGAGGCCCATGATAAGGATGTGCAGGTTGTCGAGTTGCCTATCGTGGACAGTCTGCACCCTCGGCCCCCCTACCTGCCCCTGGCGATCCCCGAGGACCTGGCCCCACGCCTGCAGCGTCTGCATGGTGACCCTTCTGTCTGGTGGGTGTCCCAGTTTGTCAAGTACCTGGTGCGGCCTCAGGCGTGGCTGGAGAAGGAGATCCAGCAGAGCACCGCCAAGCTGGGCTTCAAACACCCCATCATCGGGTAAGAACAGTCTATTATCCCTCCTCAGTATGTGGCTTTGTCTTTTCCTTTTTCTGTAGTAATAAACACTTCAGTAATAATGGCTTTGGTTCTATAGCATTTCTCTACAATAGAGTTTCAAAGTGCATCACAGTCAAAGAACCAAACAAAGACAGTCGTAAAGGCTGTGGAGGAATACAAACACCGCTTTGGGTGATGGTAATACAAGGTTAATACAATAGTATTAAATGTAACTTAATTTGAAGGTAGTGTTTTGTTCACTTAAATTTCTACCTTTAGGGCTTTGCTTCCTCATTACTTCACTGCTTTACACACATACAGCCCACATTCATGCAAATCAGCTTGTTTGAAGAAATTTTATCCCTTTGTTCTCATCATTCTGTTTATATTAATAGTGGTGGCACAATATGTCTTATTCAGCCTTTTATGTTTGAATGAAGGCTTTTTTCTTTTTTGGTCCCTACTTTCAAGCATGTCGTTTAATACAGAAGATCCTCTGATACCAGGGATTGATTACATATTTTGTCTTTTTTGTTTTATAAATCAGTTATATGGCCACATGAAAGCCTCACTGACTGATTTTAAAATCTGTAAATCCAAACAAGACAAGGAAAGAGCAGCTTACTACACATTAAAGATGACTCGCTTAGTTGGCAGCCTTTCTTTTATTTTTAGTAGCTTTTGTCAGTTAAAGGATAAGCATTGTTGTCAACAAATCCCATGAAAAGACCAAAAACAACGATTAATTTATCCAGTAATAAGTGTTGCTTTGTAGCAAAGGCCAGATTGAGCTTATTGCTCTGTCGTCATCGAGCTTCGATGTTGTCCACGAATTAATAACATCACATCAAAGGACCAAACTGTTGCCCCTGGAGACGTGGTCATTCATTATAGGGAATGTTGGGCTTTGTAGTTTATCTTGACCTGACCCCAAACACACCATGCTGGTGTCATAGTATTAATCTTCAGCAAGAAAAATGCTTCCCAACTTGTGTACTCCTGTTTGAGTAATGTTTGTTAAAAAATTCAGTGCCCGGCTGTTTCATGAAGATATGCAGCCTTTTTAGAAATGAAAGTGAAAATTTACACACTGAGTAGTAATGAACAACTTGGTGCTGCAGAGATGTGATTTGCTGACTTTGAGAACAAGACTAGCAGTGTACCGCTCTATGAGGCCATGTTTAAAGCACAGTAGAGCGTGGGTATGTCAACCGAGCCCAGCGGGACCCTTTGGTACCCCAGGTTTCGGACCGGGTTCAGTGGTGCTTTGCACTAAATGCTGTTCACAGCATCAGTGTGACTCTGTGGTGCTGCTCCTAATGTTTAGAACTATTAGAATCTTGCCATAAATGGTGGGATAAGATAACACCAGTTGTTCCCAATAATCAGTCTTTGATATCATCTTGGTTTTGATTGTGAATGCTCAGTGCTATCTCCAGAGATTCTTCTCTCACAGTTTGAAATTGACTGAGACTTCTTATGGTCCAGTGTAGCAGAACTGGAAAGCGTTAGGCTTCTCAGTTCCCATGACGGCCACAGTCACAACAGTGTAAAGCCATGTTTGATAGCAGCGTCTAAGAAATGGGTTGGACATGTTTAGGCATTTGTTTAGTTTACTTTTCTTCTCAGTCTACGAACATTCATGTGCTTTCTGTCAGCCTCTCTTGTCTCAAGGTACCTTGTTATGTTGTCTTAATTTTCTGTATCGTCCCGTGAAGCTGACTCCACCCGCCTGGTGAAAGAACCAGTTTAAAACTAATTATCTGATATTTGGGATATCGGTTAGTTAATAAGTTTTATCATCCCCTTCACAAGACTTTCTCTGCAGCTTCTCACACTTCACAACTTTTTCTCACCTTCTTCTTTACTGCAATCATCACTGCTCTTGCTCTCTTTCCCCGGTCCTGCTCTGCTTAGTTGCCTTTTCCTCTCTCTGCCTCTTTCC